TTGGGACTTTGGTGCCTTTTGGCACCTAGCGCTTTTAAAAACACTGGGTGATGCGTAAGCTACGAGGAGCTATGGATAGACCTTCTCTGGAGCTACTTCTTGTCAATAATAATGGCCTCTTAGTGGGATCCTAACCTGTGTGCTTGATTTATGTCGTTTGTATTCATGCATCTTGTTTGCTGCTTATTTTAGTACTGGATCATTTACTGTCAATTAATAACATCTTTGACATTTTATTCAAACTTGAGGAATTTGCCTTTGGTCAGGGAAATGACCCATATTCTGCAGTTCCTTATGTAAACCTGTGTGGGATATAAAATTTGGTGGCATATGTTGAAAATATGTTCCGCTTATTTACTATTTTTATACATTTGGAAGCTGGGTCTTTTATCCTTCCAACCCCCATAATGAAAAAGAAAGGATTTTACTAGTGTGCTTCATGTGATCAACTGACCTTTTGGACTATACTTTCCTTCTTAACAGGTTCTGTCGTCTTACCTTATGATCTTCTTGTTCACATCTTCAGTTTTCTGGATTTGCGGTCTCTAGCATCTGTTGGTTTAGTATGCTGGTATTCTTTTTCCTTGCCACTTATCTACCCAAACAAATTGCCATAATCAGAGAGTTAATATTAGGTTTTATTTCTCTTAGAAGGGCATGGAACACAGCTGCAATTGATAACGGGTTATGGCAGATGCTGTACAGCAACCTATTTGGTAATTATAGCACCTGCACAAGTAAAGAGCAGGACCACAAACTAGTACCTGATGGGAAAGATGTGGTTTTTCATGGATGCATGGGAGTGGATCCAACAATCAATATTAACTGGAAGGAGGCAGTTAGAAGAAAATGTGAAGGTAATGGATCTCACGTATTTATAATTTGCTTATGATGTGACTTAATTGCTAGCTTATTCTTGAATACTTGAACAATCACTTTTTACAGGTTTCGAGGGAATCATGATATAAATGTGATCTGAATTTCTAAGCTTGTGCAGGCATCAGTCACAGGGTCTTGTGGTGCTTCATGTTTAAGTAAATTATCATTGTTTTTACTCAGGTGGTTCTGTTCTCATGTCTATGAATCATGCAAATTGGTTTTCCTTCTATTTCATGTGGCTTTTAGTTTTGGGCGGTATACTGACGTCTGATGCTTGGTTAAGGGCAATCCGATCTCGGTTACTGTTCCTAATTGAATCCAAAAGGTGAAACCTTGCGAGACACATTTCTGTGATGGGAGGATCATGGTTTCCTAAGCCCTATGTATCAAACCAGATCCAATTGACTAGAAGTTTTCTAAATGATTGGAATACTGCCCTTCTAGATTTTGATTCCGTTGCTTGAATAATGTACCAAATGCATGAAAGAAACTAATTCTGATTCCATTTACAATCTGGTTCTACTTTGATCACTTATAACTGATGGCATACCAAAGGCATTAACTTCTATATTAGCCCTCTGTTCAAAATTAAAGTTGAAACAGAAAATATATTTTTTCAAGATTTTAGTTGTTGATCAATTAAATCCATGTAACTGTTCATGTCTTTTTATTTAATGGTTGTAGCCGCAATGCCTATGAACAAAATTCTAGTAGACAAAAGTTACACTTAACAACTTGTCAGAGAAAAAGAATTTTAAGTAATGATCGATCAACCTTTCTGGCTCCAACGAAGAACAGCAGCACCACTATAATCGTTGACTTTTGCTATTACATTATTGGCAGTCACAGCTAATGAGTGTCACCAGCAACTTACAATGTGACTTGATACAAGGCTTTTCGTCACTATAAACATTCGAAACTTGGTTGTGATTTTTGTTGTTCCTTGCTTTCGTTCATTTTTGCCATCCCTCGTGGTATTCTCCTGATAGTTTTGTCTTATATTATCGTCTTAATATATCTTACAGTTGCTTAAACTTTCTTTACTTTGCTCCGTATGATTTTAATGTAGGAATGTGAAACCTGCAATAAGATCCACGCTTTTGATTTTATCAAGTGCTTTTTAGAAATATCAGCTCCCAATTTTAGTTATTTACTCCAAGTTAAATTCTGTACAGTGGATTCTCTTGTATTATGACTCAGATTATTGAAACATTTATCTGAACAAGCTTTTAGCAGTATAATATGATAGCTGTGGCCATACCTTTTTTTTCATTAACTTCTATGTGAGCTTTCTTTTTCAGCTTCTATGTTATTGTGGATTGTCAATAAAATAGATTGTAATACAATAGAATGCGGCAGAGTTATTGACTAGCTGTGCTCATGAATGCTAATATATTATGTTATGTTGGTAATCAAATTTTTGTTGGAAAAGTTAGACGTATCACATGTAATAATTTTTCACTATACAGTTTGAATATTACTATTTATACTTTCTTTATATTTACTAAACTCTTACTACAGGTGTCTCATCTTGGAAGTTTTTACCAAATCGTGTAGTATGTGGACATTGTCAATCAATAATTTGGTCCAGTGGGATCACATGTCGTACTTCGCATGAGTGTTCAAAGATAGGGAATCAGAAGCTAAACATAAGGCCTATATCACCTTGTAAGGTAAGTGTCTGCTTTTTACCATCTCAACTCTGAAGTCCTTTGCAATGTTTTGGTGAAGTGTATCTTCTTTTTCTCATTTTATGTACTTCATTGTCTTTTGGGCAGTCATGTTTCTAATGTAATAATATAGCCAAATACATTCAAAAAGCTTAATTTTGTTTGATAAGTGTACTTAGTGAAGGAAAAGAAACTTCCTGTCATGCTTTTTTTAGCACATCTTGATTGTTCCTTAATTTCATAGTATAAAAAAAATCTGTTTTGAGTACCATTCTTTAGGCTGTTTGACTATGTCAAGGTTGTATGATGTCAGATGTTTCTGTAGGTGTAGTACAGATTTCAGGATAAACACGACTCATAGCTTTATATGTGGGAGCATCATTAGTTCTCCTAACTAGCTGGATGCCAAAACTCGGACCGGAGTATGCTGCCACACAGAATGATAGCTGTTTCGGTTTAGTAACTTAATCAGGTTTAGCTTTTCCCTGTAGTAGGAAACGAAGGATAATATTGATGTCTTTCCGAGATAGTATGTTATCGTATCAATTTCATGGCATACTTTTTCTCCGTCACCTACCTACCAACGCATACAATGTTGCACACCACACTATACACATGGAACCAACTGGATACAAACTTTTTAGTCTTGATTTCATGTATGAACTTTTGCATCATAATCTTGTAAATGCAAAGTTGCTTGCAGATCAATTGTGTAGCTTCAATCTGCTCGGCCTCTTTATGTCAGGTTGTGGAGTACCTGCTGGGTGAGATCGAGTTAGCAGTGATGTCTTCCGATACGGATGACAGCGACTCTGATGGACCCTCGCCGAGCACACAGCATCTTCCCAGATTATGGGCATACCCAAAGCTTTCTAGTACCAGCTAACACCACCTTTCCATATTACTTGCTCCAAGTAATTTATGAAATTGCAAGGATTAGAAATTTATGAAAATAATTTTTATGGTGTTTGCTGAGTAAATATCGATGTAATTGCCAGGATGATATGTTGCTTATTCCATCAGAATCCTCCTTTCATGTACAGTAAGCGACTGGACATTGTGCGATACATATTAGCATGTCCCAACGGAGCCATATGTTATATATAGATATCTGGCAAATGCTAGATCGTTCCTTTCGTATTCTTTTCTTCATTGTATACTCATATATTTTGATCTTAAGGTCTTGTACTGATATGGAAATGAGTTAAGAACAGCATCATCACCCTGGCCGGAGGGTGGTGGCGAGGCTGGAGGTCTCTATCGTTGGTGACCTCGCCATCTTGTATTACCTCCATCCTTTTCCTCCTCTTGCTTGTTGTTTGCTGGATTAAATGGGTCAATGCTGTGTGTATGTGATTCTGTTCTTTGATTCGTGGTGTGTGATATGTGAACTCAAAGCCAACACACCGAGAAGAATGAATGGGTATGAATTTTTTATCAGAAGTATCTCATCAATTGACGTTCGATTCAAATCCATTATCGTGTATTTTTCCTGTGCATGCCACAGACAATAGGGTGGATCGATAACTTTGTATTTCTAGATCACTATATTTAAGAGTGGAAAGATTTTTATTTAGAGGTAAAGGAGATTTTGATTGAACTATAAATACTTTATATATCGCAATGTTTCTATATGACGTGATGTTGAAGAAATATACTTTGTTTATAAAGAGACTAAGTAGAAAATAATATATTATTCATATTATTAAAATTAGGAAGATATATAATGTTTTCACAAAGTGAAATGTTTAGATTTCTTTCCTTAAATGGTAAGCAAAAAATATCGAATCATTTAAATCTTATGTACAATATTTGTTTATTTCTATTTATTGTTGATTATCTTAACTATTTTTTTATATTATTCCATACATAATTACACCTTATTCTTTTAATAGGGAATGCCAATAAATTAATAGAAATGATAGGATTTTCAAAGTGGCATGATTTTTTTTAATTACATAAGTCACTCGTATAAGTACGACACATCGTATCATTTCACTCTTATCATTTAAAAAAAATAAAATTTATTTATTTTTAAACCCTAAAAGTGTACAATTATTCAATCCTCCAACCCTTTTTTACTATTTATAATCATATTTTAAGAACTTTAATATTTCTAAAATACCCCACTATAATTGGATATAAATACCCCTAACTGACCATTTAATTTCAACATTTTTCCAATTCCTTTCATACAATTTTTTCCTTCCTCTTCTTTCCCCTTCTTCTCTTTAAATGCCTTCTTCTAGGGGATACAATTACGATTTTGATGTCGACACATACGAGAATAATTGACCGATAAATGAAATCATTATATGAATTAAGGGTAATTGAGGGGTTATGGAAAATAAGGATATGATTGATAATTGAGGGATCGTATTTAGTATAATTATATTTTATTAGTTTTTTAACGGTTATATGAACTAAGAGGTTGCCAATAACAAAATTAAGAAAAAAGAATCAAATGTTGCAGTAAATATGTTTGTTCATTACACGTACTGCAGTAGTACACTATTTGTTGGATGTTTACGATATATACTTTTACATAATAAAGGGAGTAGTAATTAAGTATGCATTATTACAAAGCAGATGCTTTTCTTCTTCCTTCTTTCCTTCTTCCTTTCTTTTGTCTTCCTACATCAGCTAATTAAAGTTAAAGCAACCTCAGAATCCAGTGAGGAACTGAATCTGCTTAAGGAGGGGGCTCAGAGCCTCCATTAGCTTCTCGCATGGATGGTTGTGGATCCCTTCGTATGTGGTCACAACGATGCTCGTATCCTTGGACAGACGTTGGACTTGCTTCTTCACGTTGCATGTGTGGTGAGTGCACCGGTAGTAGCTTCTTCCAATCCATGCAATGATTGATTCATGAGGAGAGAAGAAGGGTTAGATGAGAGTGCAAAAACCTAAATATCATCGATACATGTAATAAGCAAAAGAATTGATTGGTATGAGGTAAAGCCATTCGTTAATATGCAAAGATATGCATGCAGTGATCTCAGAGGCCAAGTTACTGAGTTTTATGCTAATAATTCCAATATGATGGATCATCTTGAAGCTGGAAAATTGCTGTCATGTCTCCTCATGTCAGTCTTCTGCAATCATACTTAGCATTAGGCCTACTTTTACCTCTCTATAGATGTAGAGAGGTAATTACATTGTTATTGATTCTTATTTTTCCTTAGTTTCACTCTCTATGTTCTCTTAGTTTCACTGTCTTTACTCGTTCTAAGATAATTAGAACTTGTGTTGCTTCTCCTTTGATTGCCTCTCCCTTCTTTTAGGTTTGTTTTGCTGTGGTATTACTCTATGATATAATTAGAATTCAAGTGTTTTCTTGTTGTCTTGCTCCTTCTCCTTCTCTTTCTACATTTCGAGAACAAGGATATAGAAGACATCGACTCACCTGGGATGGACGCTGTTCTTGACCGCTTTCTGGCCGTACTTCCGCCAACGATAGCCGTCGTCGAGGATGTCGTTGGGACTCCTCGTTTGGAAAGCAAACCTCGGCCTGATGACCTTCTTGTTCCTCCCGGCGGCACCCCTCCCCTTCTCCTTGTCCTCGCTCGCCGCCGGCGCTGGCTGCAGCAGCTGCTGCTGCTGCTGCAGTCCCATCGTGCTCGGTAGAAGCGGCAGATTCCAGTCGACGACACCTGACATCACCCACGGATGAGGGAGCGAAGCAGACTGGTCTTGCTGTTGGCACTGAGACCAGCTTGAAGGCGCGAGATGAGGGAAGAAAGGAGAGTAGGGTGGCGCTGCTCCTTCCGAGGATTCCATCGGAGCAACTTCGAAGGTGCAGGGATTGCCGCAGGTGGATTATATATAGGAGAGAAGAAGAGCGTGGGGAGTTGGGAAGAGGTTGGGAAGTGTCAACCACAAGATAGGAGTGGACAAACATGAGATCTATGGACGCAAGATCCAACGAAGGACAACCAACGACACCCCACCTAACCTCATGTCAGTTCAACTGCCATTACTGCTCCCAATATGGACGGAGCTTCACGGCCACTATACCTCGTCGTTCTCATGTAAACTATAGATATGAGTGTCACGTAGTCCAGGCTTGAGCTTGAAGCCTTGACCACGCATGCACGATAAAGCATGGAGAGAGATTAGTTTAGGGCGAGAAATAACTTGGTGACCCAACTGGCGAAGGAAGAAGAGAGCAGAGACGGAAGGATGCCAGAATGAGATAGATTACGTGTCGTTCACCTAAAGCTATCACCTTCATCACGACGACGCAATCAGAACACGAAATGCGTGTTAAGCACTCGATATGATCTGCTAAACAATGTTGCCGATGATGTATTCCAAGAAGCTGCTTCTGCCGGTGAATGTATTCCAAGAAGACGATGAAGGGTCCTTTCAGACCATCAATCCTCACTTCCTCTCTTAATCTCCTTTCATCCGCTTTTGTTCATTCAGAATGAGAGTGAAAGAGTTTAGTCCCATCATAAATATTACTTTTAGTATTAAATCTCAATCTAATTTCTTTGGTAAATTATTGAACTGAAATTACAAACTCCATGTCAAAAAAGTACATACGAATTAGAACTATTTTATAGTTTTAAAATTAAATTGTTGATGAACTGATTTAGATCGATTTAATCTCGGTTTGATTGAGTTTTTTGATTCACCCTAGCTTTGATAGTTCTAATGAACCCAATCTACAAAACAATTTCTCCTATTTACTTGTAGTCCATTCTCCCCCTTTTGAATGTGTTGTGATGAGATACAGAGGACTGCCAAAACCAAGTTCTTCCCAACTTTACTCAACTTTCTACAATCACATTATACATTTAGTTGGCTTGGAAAAATTATGTGGGTGTTTGAGGCTCTGTTTTTAGTGGTTAGTGAAAGAATTTTATTTGATCTTATTCATGACACTTTTTTTTAGTTTACACGTAAATATATTGTCTTGTGTTTGTGAACATTATCTCATTTTCTTGTTGCTTGTTTGAATGACCTGAGCATTGTAGCTAAAAATCTCACTTGGGCAGTGGTGTGAGAAGAAACAGAGATTACAGAGCCAGCAGAAGTATGCTTGTCCTCTCGGTCAGATGAGAAACGAGGAAGACGAAACACAGACAGCGGAGCAGAATCAAAATTTCGTGATAGGTGTTCCACCATTAGATCGCCATGTCTGCCGCCGCTGCGTTGAAGCTTGGCGGCCATGGCGAACGCCAGAACTGGTCCTCGAAGCCGCTTTTCTCGCCTATGTATCCGGAGCTGACGGCCACCGTATCCATGCCCAAGAACAGAGTATCCTCCTCCTCTTCTTCCTCGGCTTCCTCACCTTGCCTTGGCGGCCGCCTAAGGAGAAGCTCGTCCTCCACGGAGTCGGCGAGGGGAGACGACGGTGGGCTCGGCGGCAGCAGCTGGTCACGGTTATCGCCGTCGGCGGAGGTAGGCGGGGGGAGCTTCGGTCGGGTGCTCCCCGCGAGCGAGTTTCGGATGGTGGGCATGGGGTGGTTGTGCTCCGCCGTGTAGGTGATGAGCAGCATCCCCGGGTCGGCTCTGCTCTGCTCCACCTGCTTCCGTGCTTGGCAGCCTTTGGAGGTGCTGCACCTGTAATATGAACTGCTTCCCGCTCAAAATGTCAACACCGTCATCCTAAGATCACAACCTGGAAGCAGAAATCGAAGGAAAAGAACGGCCTTTGCAGCTTTACCGTGGATAAGGGGATCCTTTGATGGGTTTCTGCCCGTACTTCCGCCACGCCCACAGGTCGGATCGGACGCCATGAGCAGCCACTTGGCATACTACCTTTTTCTGCTGATTCTTCCTGCAGGTCCAACGTTTCCACGTATCAGCAATCCTTCTCCTCCAGAGTTCGAATCAGAAGGAACGAGGCAAGAAAAGGAGAGCAGAGGATGTACCTTCTCGCAGAACGGGGAGCTTGGGAGACCGGACGCTGGGGCTGCCTGCTCTGCCGCTGAGATTGCCGGGGATCACCGACTGCAGGAATCAGAGGCGGTTCTTGATGGAGATCCATGGCATAGAAAGGTTTGCAGAGCTCGTGGAGTCCGTACGGATAACTCGACGTCCCCACGAGCTCGGGGAAGCCAAAAGCCCTCTCCTTCTCGCCGCCGACGTCCCTCTCCTGCAACAGGAAAGGAGGAAAGGGAGAAAACAAGGGATCGTCCACGTCCACCGCAGTGCCGGCGGAGCATCCTCTCACCACCGCGTAAAGATCCCAGTTATCGTCGCCCATGGAAAAGAAGGAGAGAGAGCGAGAGAGAGAGAGAGAGGCGGGCGGCGTTGACTTGGCTGCCGAGTGATGTGGGTTTCGGATATAAAGAGAGGCCAAGATCTGGCGGAATTTATACTAGATTTGGTGGTGGTGGAGGTCACAGACGCGTGGTGGTGATAAGAATAGGGGGAAGTGGCGACGGATCTCCAGAATCCGGTGATGCCAAGCCCACCACCGGTTGTGGGCTCTGCCAACT